TTATATATATATATATATATATATATAATTTTTATTATTATTATTTTATTTTTTACAATGACAAATATCTGAAAAGGGAAGCATTTATAGCATTGATCAGAAGAGAATTCAAGAGGCTCATAGAAACTATTCAGAGTCGCTGCAAAAATTCATAACTCAAGTGGCAGAACTTATCAAAACTGCGTCTATGTAGTAACTAATTGTGCAAATCAGCAAATCTGTCCTGAATGTCAGATTATCAAAAACTAATCTGACATTTTGAACACAAAACAACATAACAAAACACTTTTCAGGGTCTAAATTCTATTTAACAAACAGTGGATTTGGCTCCCTCTACTGGAGATTTGAAAGTGTTCAGTATATTTGCAGTATGCACAGACATTTCCTTCAAACAAATAAATACCTTGCTGAAATGTCTTTGTAATGCAATGGCAATTTTCTCCTTTTCTTGTGTCATCTTTAACATGTTTCTCTGCTTCAGTTCCTATGCAGAGCCAATCGTCCAACCCCCTTTTGATGACATAGACCCCGAATACGGTCTCCATGGTTACAAACTACATATTGTTCTCCACAACACTGTATGCAAACTCATGTCAGAAAGCTTTTCCCAGCTTTTTTGTCACAGAGGTACCTAATTTCTCATCATAACCTCAAAGCCATACTGCACTGGTTTAGATGTGTGCTAAAAATCAGGTGACAATAAATCAATTCAAGCACTGCTTTTTGTTTTGGTCTCTTTGACTGTCAATTTGCACATATAATGAGATTTAGTTTCTCTTAATGAAGCCCATTGTCACCCCGCGACTGCTATTTTTGAAAGTTGAACACTTGGCTTGAATATGTTTTTCAAATAAAGATGCCATATTTTTATTTAATAAAAAACTGAGCTATTTTGTATTCTTTATGCAACATTTTTTAGAAATTTCTTACTTAATCCATTGCATTTTGCAAACATAAAGGAATTTTCCTTAATCAAGAAACATATTTTAAGGGTTTAAATAAGTGTTATAAGATTTTTATGCTTAATTTTCTCAAGTTTTAAACTCATTTGATGCAAAACTACTTTAAATATATTTTTTACATATAGCTTCTTAAGAATTAAGCTAATATGCATACATACTTGGAAATACAGATGATTTCCATTGTGGTATTTATATTATAAAGTAAAGATCCATTTGTTATGTGTTGTCTGTGACCAGCTCACATCTCTGACGGATGGATCCAGCTGACTGCCATCAGCAGAGCCGACTCCTCACAGCACATCCAGCTTTCTGGGAAACCAGTCCTGCCCTGGCGATGTGAAGCCTTGCAAGGCACAGTGGAGGTACCACATGTGAACTGCTTCTGTCTAATGTTTTACACCGAAAGTGCATTGTCAGAGTACATTGGGTTAAAAAAATAAAAAATACATTTTGCAACAGAACCGCTGAAAGAAAAAAAAAAAAAAGCAGCGGCAGAGGAAGCTTGTAGATGAGGAATATTTTATAAAAATGATGAACACTATTGCAGTAAATGTACATCAAATATTATCTGATGAATATTGAGTTAGTGGTTAAACTAAATTTCGATTAATTACCATGTGACAGACTATTTATTATAAATTTAAATAAAAATCTTATCTTGAATCAAATACGTCCTGCTTACAATTTTGATATACATTAACATAATAGTTCAATTTTAGAAAAAAAACAAAAAACAAGCAAAAAAAAAAACACATCTTAAAAGTTAGATGAATAACATTAACTAGCAGAATATTTTGTTGATTTTAAAAACCAACCTACTTCAGATGTATCAAACTTGTTTTTTTTTTCCAGACATAAACTGTAACAATAAGCGTTCTGGTTGTGTTTGCTTCTGCAACGGACATCTTGTAGAAGTGCCAAACAGAAACAAAATGCTGAAGGAGACAACGCAGCTGGTTGTTTAATCCTGAAGCACAAAGCATCAGACTCAGTGACAGTACCTACTCCCACTTGTCAATCTGTCCAACAACCCTAACCCCGCTGTCTGTTGTCATGGAAATAATGCCGCCTTGTTGTGACAGCCTTTCTTTCAAGACGTTGTACAGTTTTCTCAACTATGTATCCATAAATTCAATATCTGCAAATAGTGGTTTGTAATATGCAGATTGGGTTAGTTTGTCTGACATCCTTCTTCCTGAACTGAAACTATCTAATCTCTAGGAATGTCTTGCATTTTGCCAAAAGCTCTACTTGCTTCTTCTGGCTGGAGTTAGCTGAAAAGATGCTTTCACTATGATAGATACACTACACTGCAGGTGGAGATGTTGTAGGACTAACTATTAGATTTTGTTCATCATAAAAGCAGCAGCTCTGCAAGGCGGATTGTTCATGACTTCAACGTTTACATTCTCACTTTTCAATCTAACCTTACGCACCAAAATGGTACAGAAGTTTTTTTTGTTTTGTTTTGTTTTGTTTTCGTGGTTAATTGCTGGGAAAATAAATGCCTGCACACGGTGACAAAAATTTCTGTATGTGTCAACTGCAAAATGATGTGATGAAATCAACTGTGATAATCCACCAACTGCTGACTCATGTGTGCCTTGCAACACTTTGCCAGAATTGCTGCATTATGTCTCTAACGCTGCTGGACGAATTCGGAAACCAATTCAGTCGTGTCACTACTCCCATTTCCATGGAGCCGGAGGAGGCAGCTGTCTCATATGACTACGATGGCGAACACTATCTCATCCAGCATGAGGACTCAAACATTCAGGCGAAGATGCAGCTTGTAAAGATGACTGCAAAGAAGTATTTTGTCGTCAGCTTAGTTGTCTATGTGAGTGTTTTGTTTGCCAACAAACATTTCAGCAGAGATTACTGATCAGTGTGTGTTTTCTGTTGTATTTTACATCTGCAGTGGTTTTACAAATTGTCCATTCAGTGGAAAACTCAGGTGAAGTGTTGAGTCTGACGCAGTGCCTTGTGACTGCACTGAATAAATGGTGTGCTTGAAACCCTGACATGTTGGCCCTTCTAATTTTCACAGTTATAAGTGGATAAAGGAATTAAAAGGGAAAAAAAAACATGAATTTTGAGACTTCATTCTCTATCGTATTGCCAAAAAGCTCCAGGCAGCCTGAACTCTGTAGAAATATCAACCGTACATTTACAGTGAACCTTTGTTATTGTGCTTAAAAACACAAAGAGCTCTTGAGATTTGTGTTTGGAAAGATATGGCTGTTTAACATAATGAAAATTAAGGCGCTCTGGATGTTCAAAATATCTCTACACAAAGATATTTTGCAGCACAGGTTGTTTTTAAAGAGAATAATTGTTATGCTTATTTTTTTCTATTTTACACTAATTTGGTTTGGCAAAATGCTATGCTATTATGTAACCACTGTTTTGACTTGTATTTTACTGTCTGTAAACTTATAAAATACTACCTTATTGGTCAGTTGCAAAATTTAGTATCTCAAAAACATGTTAGGTTTTGATTGCATCATATTTTCTCATTCATCATTCAGAAGAAAACTGATGTCCATTTCCAGGAGATCAATCTTTTGGTTCCGTCTGGCCACTGCATTCTGTGGCCCAGTGGCCTAATGGATAAGGCATCAGCCTCCGGAGCTGGGGATTGTGGGTTCAAGTCCCACCTGGGTCGGTTAATGCAAGTCACTGAGAAACTGTATCACTTAAAGATTTTGGATAATGGTTAGTATTGAAGTTAATAATCAGATGCAAGAATGTTTTGGGGAATTTTTTTGGTTTCCGACACGATTGCATGATTTCACATTCCACAGGTCAAACTGACCCAGAGACGTTACTGATGTTCCTCAGAAATTAGCATAACATGAGGATTGAAAAGCAATTCCAATTGCAAAGGAAATGCATGTAAGCCTCTCACTTTAAAGAAAGTAAAATATACACATGTATCTAACACTGTAGCACTTTTGACCCTTCATAATGCATAATGCTCTTATTAGCAAATGTTTACATTTTGATAGTTTAGTGATTTTTTTTTTTTATTTAAATTTAGGGTCAGATCACATTTATTTCATTTTTGCCCCAATAATAAAAAAAAGCTAAAATCAGCACGTGCTCAATTGCATTGCCAAAAGTAACCCATTTAAATTTCATTTTAATTTCCGCTTTCAGATGGAAATTAAATTGTTGTCCGCATACTTTGGGAAACTGTGGCCCCAGCATTAGATTTATTGCCAAGGCAGTTGTTTGATATTGTCGCCGAGCCGATGATAAACCAATACAAGGACAAAATCTCTTGCTTTTGTTGTTGATAGGGCCATCATCACCATGAAAGACACTTAGTTTTGTATATTATTTGCATTAGATTACTAAACAACTGAAGAAATTTTTCCCAGGTTTCAAAGCTAGAATCAGACACAATCGGCATGGGAAACCACCAGGGCTTACTTTATTTTGTATTTTCCACAGCTTTTCATTCGTATTCAAAGTTGGACTTAATTTGATATCGGAGAATAACCATAAACAGCATCCTCATGCCATAAGGCCATATTGAAAAGGTGTGGAGCATGTAATAAACTGGCAAATATTACTCAATTGCCATTGCCTGGACTTTAATATCTACCATTTATGGCTCTTCTAGTTGCCACACATTTCAATCTCAATGGCCTTTATACTGCTGTTTGCTGCCATCATCATCTGCTGCAAACTGGCACTTCTTCATCCCTTTTTATATGACAAAAGCAGGACCCAAGGGTAATGTGTGTTGGTAATGGTCTGGCAAAATATGAGACAGTTATTCATGTCGTTTGAGACACATAACGGCTCAAAAGGCTTTACAGGTGCTGCTGGGGCGAAGATCTGTGAATCCCAGAGTTTGCTTTTGCAGAAAGTAATAACTTATCCAAGCACATTTATTCTCCTTTATAAAACGTGTGACGTGAGTGCACAAGCAGTAACGTAATGTAGGTTTATTTAAATGAAGCTTGAACAAGGCGGTTCTCCAGCAGAGGGCTCTCTTTGGTAAACAATGAACTTTCTGCACTCACCGCCGCTTTTATTCTCCTTATTCCGTCGGCTCAACAAAAGCTCCAAACAAACATGTCTTCTTGCTCTCATGGGCACAACACGACAGTGATCTCATTTTAACATAGTTCTGATTTTTTTTCATAATTACCCTACGAGCCTTGTAAAACAGCGCGCCAAAGACAAAGGCGACATTATCCACAAGAAAAAGCAAAATGTAGTGGCACGACTCTTCATTAAACTTATCTTCTTTAGCTTCCTCCCCAGCTAATCTTGGAAGAAAATTGCTTCCATTTTTAGCTTTTAATTCTCTCCCTTGTGAGTGACCAGCTGGACCCACAAATAATTCAACCTTACAGGCCATTGACACAGCTCTCATTTAGTCCTCTGTCAACTAAAAGAAATCCAACAGCAGGGAGATTAGCTGAGATCATCATTTTAATTTTAAATCACACACTCTTTATTCAAAAAGGTCTTGCAGGTATAGCCACAGTCTTCTCCCACACACACACACACGAGTGTCTTTGTCCTTACAAATCCTTACAATTAATATTCCGTGTTTATTATGTTGTTGGGCTGGGATGGCATGTCGGTGAAGTTAATTATGCATATAATAATCACTGCAACATCTGCGACAACAGCTCAAAATGTCTTCGCCAGAATCGTCTCATGAGGAGATCCATAATCAGGCAAAAAAAAAGTGATTTGTAGATACTACAAATTAACAGATGGCTCAACCCATTACAGTGCTGGACGTGAACTATTTCATAATTATATTGTAGTTACTGTCATTTTCTTTCACCTTGTTCTGACCCCCTTTATGTTCCTGCTGGGATGGGGGACTGGGGAACTGAGAAGGCTTCTAAACAAATTGAAATAGTAAGATGGAGATTAGTGAAAGCCTTATTTATTATTCTCGTTACGTTATAACACAACTTATTTCACAGACATAGCAGCCAAGGGAGGGATTCACTTGCTGGCAAGTCTACAGACAGATCCTACATTTTTGGTCAATTATGTCGCCTGGCTTGATGGTATAAGAGAAGAAAGGAGCAACCATAATTCTTGACATGGATGCATTTTACCTTCAGGAAGAGCTCAGGACAAAGTAGCTCACAAAACATCCCTGAATGAATAATAAAACTGGAAGCTACACAAAAAGTCTTCTCCTTCAAACAGAGTCAAAATTAAAGATGTGACACAGAGTAAATCTACTCAACAATGCATGACTAAGGTATACATACAAATAATAATAAAAAAAAACATACACTATAAAGGTCACACAGGCCCATGGATGATGGCTGTCCATTGGCCTAAAAGGCTCGGTGACGCAGCTTCTCGGTGTTTTTACAGGTCGCTGCTGATTGAATAGCTGGAGGGCAGCTGTGGAGACAGCAATCCATTAAAAATGGAGCAGTGAAACCTAAGGCTTAGTGCAGAACACATACAGTAAGTATCAATAAATATAGACCTGAGGCAAATGTGAGACTGACGCATGAAAACGTTCAGAAGATGTCACAAACCACAACACTGTCAAAACTTATGTCCAAACCACCCAAGATCCGATGGTTGATTTTTATTTTATTTTCATTTTTGATCTGATTGAGTGATTCCCACCTTTTTACATCGTAATCTATACAACCATTAAATTACAGGAAGAGAGCTGAGATTAGTTTAAACCTCAAGAGGCAGTGAGGTGGATTCAAAAAATACATCAAATAAAACTCCTATATTCCCTCCTAATAGCTGAGTATTTCCAGTAATTTTAATTAAACTTTCTGGAGTGAAAGTAAACAGGATTAATAACGTCTTTCTTGAAGAAGAACAGCTCAGCATAGAGCGCATAGGACATCTTCTATCTTGAATAAGCTACTGGAGCACCAAGCGCAGATAAACGAGACGATAAAGCTTTGGCAAATTTGAACGCACGTCAACGAAACATAACCCATTTAACACAAAGTTTTATGCGGTTGAGGAGCAAATGAGCACAAAACAGCAACAGACAAAATTAAAAGGCATCCTGAGGGAGAGAGAGAAAGAGAGAGAGAGCAAAACTGTTCAATTAGTATTCAGAATCTGCGATGACACAATAAAATTGTAACTTTCAGATGAGAGTTGGCCTAGATGCACATAGCTGGTAGAAACACGCATCACCAAAGACTGCTGAACGATTACGCAGCAGTGCACATTGTTTAAGTTATATTCTACTGCTAGCTATTAATTTTTATAAGTAATGTAATTATTAAACGGCAAAGGTTTACTGTTTAAATATGAGGTACATTTGTTCATTTTCTAATTGCAGCAATAACTAAATGTATAACCACTTGCCTATAGTTTTGCTTGGCAGTCATTCAGAAATGTGGTTTCTCTTCTTTCCATTATCTGGAAATTAAGACAACTATATGGACGGGATCAGAGTATCTAGGACAAATAACTCAACACTGGTGTCATCCTCCCTTGCCTCACACGTTGCAGTGGGGCTGTAAAAGGGGAAAAGAGATGGCATGTGTCAGCACATTATGTAGTACATTGTTGAAGCACTTCCTGTAATTTAATGGTTGGCTGGTTTTTATTCTCGCAATAACATCCTGTGTCTCCCAGGTCTCAGAGCGAGCATTTGTTGGACAGGTAAAGGGTAACTATTTTCTTTTGTCAAGTTGCTGCCGAGCGTTGGTTAAAAAGGTCACATATTCGTCGATATGCAAAAGGACGAACGGAAACAACCTGGACTAAATGTGTTTTCTCAAAGGAGTTGACTGCATTAGGTTGTACCCTACAATCAACGGCATTTTTATAGCTGTGCAAACAAGGTGATGCTACAAAAAAAAAAAAAGTTCAAGTACGATACCTTCTCTGCTTTCAGGTTAACCAGAAAAAAAATGATCTGTACTTTGATAAAAAAAAAAAAAATCTTCACAAAGTTTCACAATGCTTAAAAAGATTATATCTGAAGTCAAAGCAGAGAAGCTTCAATGTGGAATAAGACAAATAGAAAGATGGAGGGTTGTCA